TCTGTCCCGGCTTACAGGGACTCTGCAAGGCTGGGGGGCCGGGGTGGGCGTTGGGTGAGCAGCAGCCGCCTGCACGCGGTCCCGGCATGCTCCGCACCACGGCATGGGGCCATCTGTGCAGCCGTGGCACCGCCGTCCCGGCTTGAACCTCCCGTTAGGGTTATTTTTGCAGGATTTTTCTTGTGACAGCATTCACCATTTGTGTGCACTTCTGCAGCAAAGCAGCAAGGAGGACAACGACATCCACTACGCCGATCTCCAGCCCCTGCCTGTGGCCCCGCAGCACAGCAGGAGCCCCCGTGCAGCCTGCTCCGAGTACGCCAGCATCAGGGTAGCTGCCCAGTGACGTGTGGCGCTGCAGCCTGCAAGGCCAAAGAGCCTGTTTCGGGGGAGGAAGCAGGGACATTTCTGCAGGGCACAATAAAGAAGAAATGGATCTGTTTGCATGGCACACCCCGGTCCAAGCTTGACGTGCCGTGCTCGGAGCTGGCAAAGCTCCCCTAATTCATTCCCATCTCAGCAGCGGTGCCGGGTGAGGCTCAGGGCCGGCCCTGCCCTGCCAGGGCTCGGCAGCAGCTCTGCCAGGGCCCGGCAGCAGCTCTCCCAGGACCCAGCAGCCATCTCGAACACAGGATCAGGCCACGAGGCTGAGCACCTCTGCCTTGTGCAAGCTGTTCGGTGCCGATGACACCAGGAGGGCTTCACGCACGCCTGTCTCCACCAGCACGGGCCACTACCGGCACTTTCCTGGGCTCAGCAGGTCCATAATTTGTGTTATCTTGTCACCGCACCAAGCCCACCCTCATTAAAGCCAGCGAACAGCCATGCTGTCCAGTCCCGCTGTGTTCAGAACAAGAGCAATAGTTCCGGTCCCGCGGGCCCCGGGGAGACGCGTGGCCTCCGCAGCCCCGTGCCAGCTCACCCCGTGCTGCTGCCGGGCTCATGCTGAGCCCCGCGGGCAGCTGCAGCCTCCCACCCTGCCCCCCGGCAGCTCCCCCCCGGGGCAGGGCGGGGGCCCGGGGCCCCCCCC